AGGAATTTCAGAAAAAGTGTAGTAGTGCTTGTAAATAGTTTCTTCAGCTCTAACAGTATCTTTTGGCAGCATTTAAGCTGAGGGCTGATTAAGCTGTTTCAACTCCATCAGGGACATCTTACGCAGTGGTGAATACTTCTGATCACATGGTAGTATCTAAAACATCGAGACCCTCAGCAAATTTTAGTTAATGTGACATGGTCTGAAGTTATATAGGCAGTTTTGTAATAGTGTGGTTTCTAAGCTGTTAGGTGAATTCCTTGTGAATATTAGTCTGGTACAGTGACACATCAACACTTTTAACAGCAGCCACTGCATTTCGCCATCCTGGAAATACAGAGAGGAGTGAGGGAGGAATTAGTGGAGGTTGTTAAGTCAGTATAGCTGTTATTTTTATGTCTTATGGGCCAGCTGCTGCTAGCAATGGATGTTGTTTTGCTGATGTATCCTGTTAATTGTCACCTCAGAAACTTTAAAAATTACTTTATCAGATGGGTAATAAATAGCAAGTATATTCCAGACTCCATGAGGAAGACAGCCCAGAATTTGTACTCATCTGCCTAGCAAGTTTGTATGAAAAGGTAGTTATGGAAAACCCAGAAGAATTACACGATTCAGATAGATTGGAGGTTAGAAGTTAGGGTTAGAGGTCTGTATTAATAGGAAAGAGGGACTTTAATGTAAGTCTTTAACAACTGTATTAAAAAGAGGGGGAAAAAAGTTAGCAGTGTTAATTATAACTCAAGTCACTTTATGCTTTAGTTAACAGTAGTTTGAAGATCAGGATGATACCCTGATTGATTTTTGCAGTTGCTATTCCTTACTTATTTAAATAAACAGAAATAATTGCATTGTGATAGAAATAGCTCTTCTCAGAGCTGCAATTATTCTGGTGGGTTTATTCACTGGCAGTTGTCAATGCTTTGTGTGACAAGTCACAAGCATGCCTGTGAAGGAAGTGTTTTAAGTTTGTTTGATCACTCCCAAGTCCTTTTGCCTTGCTTACAATCCCAGTTCCCCTACTGGCCTTCTTTTTAGGCCTATTACTAAGGAGGTGAGCGTTTTCTCTAGTTTTGTCCAACTGGCTTTCATTACCTCTGGCAAAATTTCACTAGTGCTGCTGTTCCTTGTGCAGTGTGTGCAACCCATCGGGAAATCTCAAATGTTGACTCTAGGTTTTTTTCATGACACCACCAATGCACCTCTCCAGATGACCTAGCAGAAGGTGTTTGGGATGCAGGAAAATCAGGGGAAAGTGTGGAACATAAAAGATGTCAAGAACTTTGAGATTAATTTTGTGTCTAGGTAACTTTAAAAGGCAGAATTAGAAAGTGATTATTCACAAGATGTGATGTGAGGAAGAAAACAAATATGGAATAGGACAGGGAAAAAGCAGATATTACGGATTTTCACAAAAAATATACAGGTTGTTTTCTTGCTTGATGTCTCATTTTGTACCTTCAGCCATTTGTGGGTTTGGATACCTGAAAAGAATGGTAGATTTCACCAAGATGTGAGACCAGGACTATGCTGAAAAAACTTGCAGATAAAACAGTCTCTGTGATTCTACAGCCATTTAGTCTTGCAAGGTTGCCTCAAAGTACCTTGTATTATCTAGGGACACATTTTTGCTATAGTACAAACTTGCCTGTAGTTTGAGGTAGTTTTTATTATGGTGTACAAGGAAACAGAGGCCCAGAAATACAATGTGTATATTGTATTACCATTGAAATAAGACTTCTCAAAGCAGGTTTATAATTATGAAACTGTTGGCCTGCTTTGGAGGATTTTGGTTTGATTTGGGGTTTTTTTTTCTTTGGTTTGGTAATCCTAATGCTTCTGCAGACTGAATCTCAGTTGAAACTCTGGGGAAAAGATACAAAATACTGGAGGAGAAAGTTTTGGCCCTGTAGAAAGATTTTTTTCGCATACACTAGACAGTAAAAAACATTATCTTATTTGAATATAGAAATCTCAGTTTGTTTTTCCTGCAGAACTTGAACCACGTTAGCAAGTTTACATAGTGTTTGAGTAGCATTCTTTATTATCAGTTAAAGATTTGTCAAGAATAGATTGTTCCAAACCAACTGGAGTACTTGCCTCAGAAAAGGATGAGAAAGCTTGACTTCATTTTTCTCACGTGACCCAATGGTTAGCCAATGGGGGAAACGCATGGACTCGAGACACCTACTGGTGGTACGTAATTAGTTAGAGATCTGGAGTAAGACAGTAATACTTGTCTGTTAAAATTTATACACAGTTTGTACAAAAATAGGATGTAGTTCAGCAAGGACAGACAAACTTCTTTGTTTTCTTTAGATAGAAATATCAACTTCGTAATTACAGCATGGAGAGTGACTGATCAAGCTCTACAATAAAAAACCAAGCAAAGAAGTGAGTGGTGGGGTGGTTGTCATGAGGCAACACCTCTCTTGTGTGATACCCAGAAGACAAGAGTTTCCTAGAGCAGAGGCTTTGTTTTTTGTAGATCTAAAGAGGTTTAATGGCAATCTTCTGTCTTGCTTTTCTAAAAGAGGTTTTCTTGTTCAGGTAAGGAGTGATGCTGAGAATCATTCTGTTTGCTTTGTGCAGGGAGTTACAATGCATAATTACAATATTCCCCTGTAACTTTGTAGCTTGTAAACATGTCAAGTAAATGAATCAGATTATTCTGAGATCTAAGTTGGATATAATATATGTAGTATCAGTTCCAGATGAATAAAGACTGATCTGATTTTTCTCATGTCACCTTTGAGTCTTATGTTGTTTTTAATAGGCTTTTAAATTTTAATGTTCAGAAATTTAAAATAGTGAGCTCAGTTCTGCTGGGAAGAGAGAAGTTGATCTTGTGGTCTGAAGTGCAGAACTGGAGAATCCTGCATGTGGGCTGTTATTTAATAGTGCCCTGCAGTTTGCTGATCTGTAAAAGGAAGATGATGCTGGTATCTCTTGTCAAGACCTAAGAAAGCTTGTTGAGTATTGTGGGTAGAAGGCACTATTTACATCGTTTGTATTTGCTCTAATACCTTTTAGAACAGATGCATCACAAAAAAGGTGTGTAACTAGCCTTGCACATTTCCATGGTTTTCTTGGTGAGAGGCTCTGCCTCTTGTGCTGCAGGAGAAAAAAAAGGATTTGTGCCTATGAAAGTTGCTATGCATCAGCTGGTCCTGCTAGAAAAAGAGATAAAAAGCAAGAATATACCAGTGAAGTTATAACCAAAGTCTTTAGAAGTAAATGAGAAAGGTAGTTTTGATCTCTTTGGAGAGTTTAAACTCTGGAGGAGGAGCAATTTGAGGAAAGAGGTTAAAAGCGTTTAAAGAGATACAGCCATTAGTTCTAAAACAGAAAGTAAAGAAAAAGAAGCTTTTCCTAGTAGCCAAAGCTCACCTGTCTTCCTAGAAGGTTTAAAAACATTCAGAATTAAGAGGAAATTCATAGGTTCCAGCAGTGTTACAAATGCAGCTGCAGTCACCAATGTGAGTATTTACCACAGTTATTGTGAAAGCCTTTCTGGGAGTTTTAATTACCAAGTCAAGGAAGTGAGTTATGGACAAATAGTGTTATATTCCACAGGCTCTAGAACATAATGTTAATGGTTGACGTTTTCTGGGAAGATGAAAGTTTATATTACTTTAAATCATCTTTTTATATTTTTTTAAAACAACTCAACCACTCTCTTGACACCCATAATGTAGTAGGCAAAAATTAAAATACTTCTAACTATTATCCATGTGGTTTGGTGTACCCTCTATCTCAGCCTCCTCTGAATAGTCTTTATTCCTAACCATTTTGAGATTCTTAAACCACTGCTGATTTCTTACTGTAATTGGGTTTTTTCTCCCTAACCCTGTGACAAGGTTTCTGAGACACCTGCCTTTTCAGAGTTCAGAATAATTGCTTTTGTGCAAGGATGCCGAGATACTTGTCAGCACACAGTGGAAAAGGTTTAGTGATTATTTTGGTTTTCTGTGTGTGTTCTTAAACCATTACCACAGTGGCTGAAATCCCCAGAGGAGAGGTTACCTTAATACAGAAACAGTAGTGGTAAATTACTCTTTTATACTGGTTGATAACTGTTGCTGCTTTTTGTTTCAGGTTCTCCTTGATGAACTTTCAGCCACTAAATATTGGGTATCCATGCATGTCTCAGATCACAGTGGATTTCATTACCGCCAGTTCTTACTCAAGTCCTTGATAGGCAGAACTGTGACTGACAATAATGTACTGGTACAAAATCAAACAGTAAATGAGCAAAACCCTAGCCTTCAAAAGGAGGAGGAGAGTGCAGGGGCAGAAGCTGCCTGTGCAGAGGAGCAGAGTGTGGATCTCCCTTGCTGTTTAGAGGAAGAGTTGGAGCTCTGCACTGAGCTGATTAGTGCTTACCCAGGGCATGAAACCTTGTGGTGTCATAGGTAAGATAGAGTGTCCTTCTGATTTGTGGATTGTTCTTTGCCTGATGTTTCCAGACAAGTTGTTGTTCTAATTTTAAAAGATACCACTCAATAAAAGATTTCTAATCTACCATGTCTTAAGCCTTTGGAAAACATTCAAGGGCATAAGCAGAGCTATTGAATGGAGAATTTGACAGGGTGTTAAGTATCTTGTTGATGTAAGCTCCACTTGTCCCTATAGTTTGTGCAAGAGACACAAGATACTCTTAATCAGGCTCCTCACACTTAAAGTGTGTAAAGGGCAGAAGATGAGCAAAAGATAGGCAGAAGATGGATCAGCTGAAGAAAACTTCTGCTTTGCCAGCTGAGTGTATGTGCCTGTCTAGGTAACAGCAGATTTGCCAAAGTGACACTGTGCCCTTTTTTGCAGAACGTGAGCAGTGACAGCAGATTTTGTGTCTGTTTGCGGGGCAGTCTGGTCAGATGGCAAATGAACTGAAGCAGTTTAGCAGCAACAGCAGATTATTTTCAGTGCATGACTTTTTTTTTTTTATTTATTTCTTCTTTCCTTTTCCTCTGAAGAAGGCGTGTGTTCTACCTTCAGCACCACCTAAGCAACAAACTTCCTCTTCTGAGTGCGGGGGTATCGTCCGTGGACAGCAGTGATGAAACTCTGAATAATTCCCACCACAGTCCTGCAACAAGTCACATGGCACAAGCTATGGATGTTGATGGTTTGAATGAATCCAGCAGCAAACAAGGATATACCCAAGAAACAAAACGCCTGAAGCGTGCTCCTATGCAGGACTCTCTTGGTCCAGAAATGGAATACCGGTTCATTGATAAAGTATTATCAACTTCTAGGGATGTGGACCAAGCCAGGTTTGCTACTGCTTATAGGAAATGGTTAGTTACTTTTTTAGGTCAGTGAAGAAAGAGTTTAAAGCCTTCAGGGTTCTACTTTTAGTGCAATATTCTCTTTTCAGACACAAATGCATGTCTTGGTTGCAAGTGTTAGCTAACCATGTGTTTCTCACTCTTTTAATGGTCAGTCCTAAAGTTCATATTCAGAGTAGCAGTCTGTCACTTTATTTATTAAAGAACTGGCATACCTTTTTATTAAGCAAATGCAGTTTGTTCTTTAATGTTTCTAAGAAATATCTCTGTGTCAGCTTCCTACTGTGCCATTTTGTTACTTTTTATCTTCTGGATTAAGGTGACTCTGAATCATTTGGCTTTAAAAAAAAAAGCCTGAAATGCTTTTGAAACAGTGTGTCTGGAAAAAGAATAGAAGGATCTGTCAGTATCAGCTAAACCTGTTTTCAGGTTGTTCCTCTTTACTGTAGTGGCATCTTGCTAATAGCTTACTGGATTCAGACTATATTCCATGAGTGCTTACTTTTGTATTAGCAACCTTTTATAGAACACCAGACTGCAGTGTTTCTTTCTCAAGGCTCCAGTGACAGTATTGGAGACACGACTATTACTATTGTAGCTGTGGTTTTGTTTCCTTATTAGTTGTCACATGAGTTTGACAGGAAAGTCTATGGAGTTGAAATCCTGAAAACATGACACAAAGTAGTTCAAACACACATTCACGCTCACACTTACAGTCAGCTATGTTTGGAAATACTTTCTTAGAACAGACTACCTTCATTTGCTATTTGGTATTTATTTATTTATTTTATGTCAATAATCTAGAATTAATGACATTTGATACACATTTCTGAATGTATTATGTACACTACAGAATCTCAGCCTGCTAAACCACATTGGTAACTTGTACTTAACCAAGACCATGCAAGTCCAATAGATGATGGAGTAAAAAGTAATTATTCTGTCTGGTCATTGAGATTGTACGGTTCAAAAAAATAGAGCAGGAGGGAGCTATCTCTTCACTTTTGTCTTTTGCAGAGCTTTGGGTTTTTTTCTTTTGACTCTTTAAGACCACTTCTCTGACCATATATCTCTGTTTACATAACTGTAAATTTCAAGGGAATTTGAAACATATTTCTGTTCCCATAAAATTGAACGTTAATGGTTTATTTTGTCATTTCCTTAGAACTTGTCTGTATAAGGGATTTTTTTACATTAATGGAATTATGCTGGTCCAAAGACCTAGGGGAGAAATATTGTACAACTGTAGAAGTTTGTACAATGGCAACATCACCTCTGTTCCAGACTATTCACTAAGGGGATTAGATTTTCAAGCTGGAGTCTTCACCAAAATTGCTGTATATTTCTCCTGCCCAAAGTGCCTCCTGACTGTGCTAAGTTCCAAGCTGCTGTTTCTGTTGGGCAGAGAGCGCAACAATAAGGGAGGAAAAAAGCAGGTAGCCTGCTCAAAAGCTATCATTTGGAAAGAAAAAAGGCGCTCAAAGCATGTGGAATTCCAACAGTTCTAAGTAATTTGATGGATGGGGGTTACTCTTGCATTTTAGAATGAAAATAGACCACCTCTAGTCTTAGAGAGTATGTTCATAACGCATTTCAGGCACAGAGTAGCTAACAAAGACATTTCTAAATGTACACTCTTCTGTTTACAGTACCTAGATGAGGCTGACCTAGGCTTGAGCATTTCTATGGCAAAGCTTTGTCTCAATGGACATCCACACCTGCCTCTGTATAGCTGGGGACATGTTACATGGCTGTTTGTTTTGAGGTGCTCTGGGATGCTGTCTTGGTTGATGGTTTCAGTTGCAGAAGAATGTAATCGATGTGTGAAGGTGCGGGAATGGCTTGAGAGGATAATTTCATCATAAAGTGTTGTCTCTGTGACCACTGACAAATGGGTAGGTTCAGGTACAAAGTGAAGCCTGAACTTAAGAATTTGACTTGAGCAAGAACTTCTACTCATCCCAGAGGATGTGGATTTGTTTTGAGTATGAAAGATACATTAATGCATGTGTAGTAGCCTGGGTCAGCTTGATTAACAATATCCCGTTAATGACTAGTACAAACCTGGAAAGTGTGAAGTCAGTTCGCAATGTATTAAGGATCACGTTCTTGGTCCTAGATTACTTACACAGTTAGTAACATAGTTGTGTGTTGTGTTTACCTTGGCAAAAATTACCTATTCATGAGAAAAATATTAGTGGGAGGAGCAGACTGGGAAGTGAGAGCATGATAAGAAACATTTCTTGAACTGTAGAAGGGAAGAGATGCTTTTTTCTTGCACTGAAATGACTGAGGTTTTTAGAGGAAAATTCTTGTATTAGGATCTGACTTGAAACCCATTATATATTTCTTCCAGACTATAATCTGGAGACTTATTTGTCTTTCTTAGAGCTATGTCATGGAAGTACTGTTCTATTGAATTTGACAGTCTTTCCATCACAAACACTTAAGATCAAACAGCTGCCCTCATATACGTGTGTGCAGTTCCTATTCATGTCAGCACAAGTTATGCATGTTTGTGGGAAGACAAGATTTGGTCCTATGTAACTGAACAGAGTTCCATTGTGTTTTCATATTTGGAAAATGTTCTGAGAGCTCTGAGTAGAGATGGTGCTGATATTTTTATTACTTTTACAAAACACTAGTGGCTGTAGTATGATTGTCTTAAAGCCTACACCTGATGGAAATACTCCCCCACCCTTTTTTTTTAATCCAATCAGAATAGTTACATTTAGAAATGTTTGCAAACCGTACTCTGACCCAGGAAACTAAAAAACAAAAATAAAATTGGAACAAGTCATATCTTCCCCTTTGAAAGAAACACAAACAATAAGCTGTCAAAATCAAGCTTTAATTTTTTCATGGTAACAGTATAAATTATATGGAAGAAGAAAACATGTAACTAAATTACTTCAAGCTGCCCGTGTCTTGAAGCCTCTTACATGAAGTGATTGAAGAGATACTTCCAACAAATTGCATTAAGCTCACAACTGTGATGCTCTGGAACTACGATCTTTGGAACATACCTGTCTAACCATTCAGTATTACTGCAGAGTCCCATCTGGGCACTGCGTGAAAGAAAGAAAAGTGGCTTCAGGCTGTTGGTAGTTAACATGCATAAAGGTTACAGAGTACAGCTACTTTAAGTGCTGTATTTTAGTTGTTTTGTGTTTCAGAAGTCAGAGATTTATAATGCAGTCAATGAACATTTTTACAGAGAAAATGCCCAATAGAAGCTGCAGAGTACAAGGCTCTTGCTCTCTGAAGTTTCTTCAAATACAAAATCAAACTTTGTACATCTGTAAGCATCTTCATATAAAGTTCAGCATCTTTACTGATTTTATCTTCTGCTGTAGTATGTGTCATTTGAATTGATGCAAATTCTTTTTGTTCACTGGTTTAGTCTTTGTAGAAATTTCTTTGTGCTAGAAACAAAGGGTTTTGAGGAACAAATGTAATTTGAAACTACAGAAATTAGAATAGAAGGATTCACAATTTTAAGGGGGTTGAATTCTCTGCTGCTAAATACATTAACTGTTATTTCATCAGCATTTGATTTATCTTGTGTATTTCAGTCACTGGAGCAACACATGGAGCATTAAAGATAGCTGCAATAACAAACCTCGTATAAAGTTGTTATTGGAACGCATTGCTATAGATGCTCTGATTAACATTTGTTCATCTGCTCATGCCTGCATATTAGTGACTTCTTACATATTCTGTATGCAATCAAATCTGTGTGTCACTTAAATAGGGGGAAAAGAAAATTGTCAGTTTATACTGTTTGATTAATTACGTTACATAGAACTTGTTTTAAGACAAATAAGCAAAGTGGTAATACAGTGAGAAAGTTTAGGTTCTGTCTGACAATCAGAATTTCTGGCATTTCCAGTTTTGTGTTAGTGCTGCTTAATTAGAATGTGTAGCTAGTCTTCATGGACAGGAGTGAGGGTTTTTTTTCCTAAGTAGGTAATTAATTTCTAAAACAGTACTGTATAACATTGATGAGCAGAAACGAAGAATTTTGGAAAGGCTTGTCTGCATAGCCAGACTCAGCAAGCATACTTTTTCAGAATAACATATGATACAAGGAACAAAATGTGACTACCAGAGAATAATTTAAGTGGTGAGTCTTCAGAGACTTGATGATTGAATTTTTGGACAAGGTTAGTTGCTTAGTTTTGATTTGCCTTCTGTGAGGGAAGAATGGTGCTTGGGTTTTTTTTTAATTTGGTAGGAAGTGAACCGTTGCACTTACAGTGTGGGGGAAAAAACCCCCCCCAACTCTCGAGTTGTATCTTCTAGAGCAATTTTGGAAAAAGCAGCAGCGCAGTGAAATGTAGGTGTGACTTTTAAATGCATGTTTGTCCTGTACTCATTTGGTGAGGAGAAGTCTTTACAATTATACCTTACTGTTTTGTTAATGTCAGATACAAAGGAAAGCGGGTAACTCACCTATTCTTAAATGCACTTAACATTCAAGTTAGTTTCAGAGGAAGTTCAGTGTCCCTGTCAAAGCTAATTTTCCTTCTTTTTTTTTTCCCATGTGCTCAGAGGTGTGTTTTCTTCCCAACCTCTTCTCTGTTCTTCCAACCAGCAAAGAAGAATGTAGCAAAGCGTTGGTGAGGTGGCCTCATTTCGTGTTTAGGTAACTCTTTGACTACCTCCCAGAGAGTGCTCTGATTGATGTCCTTAAGTGGAGTTCATCGGGCTCAGCTTTTTTAGAACCTCATGCTAGGCCTACATCCTCTTTCAGAGGTGAAAAGCAAGAGCTTTATCTATGAAGCCATCTAGTTTCCCCAGGAGAGTTTAAAGGAGAAAAGAAAAAAAAATCTTAAAGTTGGGAAAACTAGAATGAGCGTAAACTTTCATTAGTCTTTTCCTCTGAAGAAGCAAGTTGTTGCTGAAAAATGGAGGAAATATGTGCTTCCAAGAAATTCCTTGTAGACAGTTTATGCTTTTGAATTATAGACCTGACACTTTCTAGTGGCTTTTACTTAGTGTGTAATGTTAACTTCTCAGGGCA